GAAGTATGTTAATGTTATTTTTTTATATATAATTCAAAATTAATAACATTTCATACCATTACAGTTTAAAATTGTGTATTACATTATTATTATATTACTAACTCCTTTTTTTAAAGAAATTCTATTTTCTATTTCCAAGATTTACAATAATCATTCTTTACTGTGTTTTAATTGAATGGAAAAGTAATTAATTGAAATTAAAACAGTTTAAGAATACTGCAAACCATCCTAACCTGAAACCCTTTCAATAAAATCTTTGAAGAACCTTGTTTGAAAAGGAAAATCTAAACAAAGCTGCAACAAATTTGGTCCAAACTTTCCATTTGACACTGTTCTGAAATTTTAACATTACAACCTAGAAATTTGTTATTTGCAATTGTTAAAATTCCACGAATAGAACCTAATTTTATTGTAATATTCAGAGGAAAATAATTTTTGATTGGAATAATAAGGATCAATGATGAGGATAACGATGATAATGATAAACAAAAAATCAAGCGATAAAAATTATGATTGTCGTCATCGTGATGATAATAATTAACTGTTCTTTTAATCAGTCGTTGTTTTTGTTCATGTTTATTACTCACCACACTTGTCTGACTGAGGGCCATTGCGAGGATAATTCGTATTGTCAAATTACAAAAACAATAGGAATAATCCAACGAATAAATCAGCCCCAGTTCAGAAGCCGATCCGCGGTACCATCGCTCTTTTATATACTGTGGACACGTCTCCCATTCCACCTGATTCTAGTGTGAACTGAGAACAGCCATCTCAAGAAAAATCAATGTATCCAACATCACCAAACTAAACTTTAACGAATTAAAAGAAATGTTATTTATCACAAATAATTATAAAACTTGTATTACTGGCAATTTATATCACTTAATGAATCTTTATTGTTTTTAAATTATTAAATTTTAAATAGAGTGCATGCTTTATCATAACTTATAAAGAAATAAATATATATATAATCAAATTTACAAGTAGATATTTATTGTTTATTAAAATTTATAAGCTTATTAATTGTTTCTTTTACCAATTATTTTGTTGCATATTATTAACAGTATTTAATAATAAAAATAGGTTAGGCGACTCATTACTAAGAAGTATATAATTGCTGATAAAAGTTTATATGTTGGTCACTCTTATGCGTAAGTTCATATGCATATCATTAAAGAAGTAAAATAAAAACAATTAAATACAAAGGTATTAAAGAAGTATAAAACAAATATTTTGTATTCAATTATTACAAACAAATAATGACATGTAAATTATTAATGTATGATGGAGAAGGAAGTAAATTTGTTAATGTGCTGATGTGTTTAATTTTAATTTCTATTTCTTTATGGGGTGTGATAAAAATAAAATATCCAAAAAGTAAACCCTATTAATAGCAAAAAAATTAAAAATTGATAGGTTTACTAAAAATTCTTTGTAAAGCGCGGTTCTATTTATTAGAGCAAGTCTATACAAATTCACGATTCTTTATTAATGATAACAAACGACAGGATTAAATCAACTTTTTACAATCTTTCTTTTATTCTTTCACATTCTCTCTCCCTCACATTCTTTTTTCATATACATAAGTGTACGATTAAAGAATTCTGAAAATGTACTATTTCAATGAATTGAGGTTTAAAATAATTGAAAATTCGATTCCAGCGATTTTTAATGTGATCTATGAATCGATAAAAATTTTCGCGATTATCTCCAAGAGAAATAGAATCTCATATTCATAGTTCAGTGTTTAGTAGAGAATATGTGATACATGTTTATTGAACAACAAATACCTTAAATAATAATATATACATTTAAATCGATCGATAAAAATCTCGATCAAAATTCAGAATTACATCAGCGATTAATCATTTTTATTATTTAGCACTTTAAGGACAGCCGAGTAAATCGATCTTAGAATTATTTCATTGGCCAATCTTTAATCATAATACATCTTTGTTTCAACATTGGCGAACGGAAAATATTTTCAAAATTGTTCATAATTCATAATTTTATTACGAGTGTTTGATAATTTTTTAATGTTACATTGCTATTAAAAACCTAAAAAAAATTAAAATGTCTGTTATGAGGTATTTAATTATCTACAATTTATCCAACATTTCTGAATACTTTTTCCAAATAAATTTAACTTCACGTAAATTGTGTAATTGATCAACTATTCAATTAAAATTCTACTATTTCTCAAATAAAAAATAAATGGGGTAAATAATAAAAGATATAACTTATTATGAACCTCTCATTAGTACTATAATATTTCGATTAAATATATATTTCCATCCCGCCAATTAAGCACTATTAAGAAGAATTGCGTTTTAACAAAACATCTTTCAGCCTCTAGTGATTGGCCGAAAATGAAATAAATCTCCGTGTATGATGCATTGGAACTGTTAAAGATGAACTTTCAGAATTCGCTTGTATTCCTGCATTCAGGATATTTATGGAAAAAGAATTTCAAGATCGTCAACATCGGAAAGTGAAAAATCAGGAGAATCATGAGATCTGCTGTAATCCGTCAACATATCGTCTCCCGAATCGTCTCCGTCAGCTGCATCTTCATCGTCGTCATCGTCATCATCATCATTATTTTCACGATCGTTTCGCTCATTTTCATCACCATTCTCTTCTGCTACTGCGTCTGGATTATCTGCATCTATTTAAAAATGATTTTTTAAAATAAATTTAAAAATAATTCCTCTTATTAATTACTCTTAGGTCGAATTCAAATTGAATTAGACCTGAAAAGGATTAAAAATTAAATAAGTTAATATGAATGTATGCAGAAATGTTTATGGTTATATTTCAAATAAGAATTTTTATGAAACGTTAAAATATTTAAGAATAGTAGGTACAAACCATCAGCGTTGTTATCATCAGAACCAGAATTCGAACCATCATCATCACTTGCATCGAGATCTTCCTCATCATCATCTTCGTCCGCTTCATCTTCATCATCCCTTCTTCTGCCAACATCGTACAGCCTAACACAAGACTCATGCATATTGTTAAATTCATTCTGGTTTTCAACTATTGCTATTTGTGTGTCGAATTTATTACAAGCCAGCCCGTAAACTCCTTTCTTAACATCACAGGTAGCTGTAATCATTTGATCATTAATGTAATTATTTTAATTACGATTCAAACAACTCAACATCTTCAACGATAAATTAA